TGGAGTGTGTACACTGTAGAAGAAGTTCGAGCTACAATCCGCCGCAATTCTGGCAATTCTGGCAATTAACTCAATAATTCATTCTTGATGTTTTCAGGCCAACATTAATCTACCTTTTTAATTTTCACAGCCCTGAGGTCAGGACCTAATCGTGATATCGTCAAGATAACATCCGATTCTTGCCGCTTATCAGCGGATACCAGGTCACAAGGTCAGGACTAAGTCATGACCTTTTTGCTGATACTTATTAATACATGTAATTGGAACACTGGCTCCAACTTTCTATATTAAAAAATAGTATTGGCACTCTTAATAATACAGTAATATTTGAACGACAAGAAGGATATCATCCATGTGTTCGCATATCGCGTTTTATCCGATTATGGTCAGTCCTTGGCTACGCATACTCTCAATCCTCTTTCACAACTCAAAGGCACAACTCAACTGCATAGTTTATTATAAAATGCTGCAGGGCAGGATGAATGGCGGCACTCGTAGTGTGCAACACGAAAGCTTGAATCCCATGGCGGAATCGATCGAGTTAGGCACTAGCCAGCTTTCGGATCAGGATATTTCGTCGTCGGCTGCCAGTCTAGAGGATCAGCGGCTACTTCAGGAGCCCGACGGTAGCGTGGAGTTGCCAGTGGCTAAGGCTTTGAAAACTCAAGCAGCAGCGTCAGCGAAGCATACAAAGGTAATCTTCCTAGATGGTGCTCGCGGCCTTGCAGCTATACTTGTCGTCGTACAGCACTCACAAGAATTTATGCCGGATCTCCACCTTGGTTATGTCGGCGTTGACGTGTTTTTCGTGCTCTCTTCATTTCTCCTGACGTGGATCTTTATGAAAAAGAGCATGAGGCTACTTTCCCAAGGCGCCTCTCTCCGCACTTGGGCGTTCAATATGGCGGACTATTTCCAGAAGCAGTTCTTTCGGGTGTATCCGCTGTTCTTCGTCACTGTGATCATGCTGTCTCTTATGACAGCTGAAGACCAAAAGCTCTACTTTGTTGGCAACGGCCACCGTTCGATTTATTCAAGACACTAATGTTCGACTACGAGTATCGCTACCATGTATTTTGGACATTACCCCTGGAGATTGAGTACTACTTCGTACTTCGTAATCCCGATTTTCGTCTTGGCTGTGTTGGGTATGCGCCGCTTTTGGTTGCTAGCCGCTGTTCCGCTGACTCTGTGGATTGTTCACGAAGGTATCTTCACTTATCGAGCAAGTCACATGCCTATGAGGCCGTATATTCCGACTTTTCTTACTGGCTCCTTATCAGCTGTAGTTTTCGTTAAAGTGGACTTGTGGATCAAGAAGACGGAGTTCATTTTCCAATGGTGGCACACCACTATAGTCCGAGTGGTTGAAGCTCTAGCCATAGCAATGCTTTTAAGTGTGTGCTTCCGAGGACTGCTCTTCGACTGGGTATACGAGAATCCTGCGCCCGCTCCCAAAGGATTCCCCTACACGAGTGCGTTCTTGGCAGTCATTTTCGTGATCGAGATGATTAACCCATCCTGCGTGTCAACGATGCTCGAGTGGAATGTACTTCGCTTCTGGGGAAAGATCAGCTTCTCCGTCTACTTGATGCACTCGTTTGTGATCTATAACCCGACAGTGAGCGCCCAAGCGAATTACTTCGACCGATTTTTCTCCAGGTTGTTTTTCATACTTGCACTTTCGACTGCAACGTATTATCTTGTCGAGTACCCGTCGCTGCTGTTCGCTCAGAGAATGTCCAAGTTCCTCGAAAGCACAGAGAAGAGAATCTGAGAAGGATGGATGAACTTTGCGTGGTTGGAGCGAAAGTAAAACAGCAGCACAGGTGACTTAGGGGTCGTTTAAACAATTGCAATGATAATAGTACTTTGACGTGCCTTCGAATTCGCTATGAAGTATTTTTTGCAGCAATGATTAGTACGCAACGAGCTAAATTGGTCAATGAAGCCTCATTCTATTTGCTTTTCTTAGACCCACAAACGCTTCTTGTAGAATTTTCCCTTTTCTCGCGCTGATGGTCTACGCTGGACGACTAGTAAACCTTGCGTATTATGCCGAGGGCTCGGCCGAGCCACGTCGCAGTAACTGCATCAACACGCACGCATTGCGGCGGTCCTGTAACAACCATTCCAGTTTGAGTGCTACATTTCCCCGAGTGCATTTCGCTCGCGACTCAAAGTTTTTGCGCTCAGCTTGAATGCCGTCCTCCAAATTCTGCCACTCTGGCCATCGACAGTGTTGTTTATCCTTTCCAGCACTACTCCCCTTGGCATAGTCTCGCTTATTTTCGATCGTGAGGCGGAATGCATACAGGCCTATAGCCCAAACCTACAGTGATTCAACCTTAGTGTAAAAAGTCTAAGAAACGCCATTTAGAAACACTCTACGTACCTGGTCTTTCAGCGCTTCATACGTCACTTTAGACCGATTTCGAGGCTTACAGGTAGCGTCCAAGCCCAGCTCCAGATTGCAATGAATGCCCTTCGTCATCTTCTTCAAAACTCGCAGCATGCAACCGTGAAAGAACTGCATGTCACGGTTAACAAAAGGCAACATGTCGATGAGAATTGTGAATCTGTGCGCTGCCACAACGAGCATCTGGAACAGGTTGACATGAATCGAGTCTTGTGACAGCAATTCGGGGTCAAAGTACAGCGCATGCCAGCGCTGTCGAATCGGAGCGATCACTTTGTTGACGAAGAAATCCTGTGCCGCCTTCGTCTCGTTAATTGGGATGGAACTTTGCAACAACGAACTGCTGAGTCTACAACAATAGCATCAACAAAAAGGATTAATTAAACCAGACAACACCTTTTATCCATCCAGCCCGAGCTCACTTCTCGTAGTTGACGTAGACCTGGAGATCATTCGTGTCGATCAGCATGCCACACCACGATATGCAGCCACTTGACGCTTGTTCGCCTCCGCTATGGACCTCGAAATTTGCTTGACTTTTTGTAACATTTACGTAACATCCATACTCATCGTTGCCCTCGTGCATCACTTGGTGGAACCTCCTCGCTCTCTTGAGATCCGTCGTGATGTACATGAAATCGTCGGTATATCGGAACAATTCTTCGTGTTGACAACAGGAAACCGGTACAATTGCGGGGTCGCAAACCTCTGGCAGCTGCTTGCGCAGTACACGTCGCTCAAAATGGGCATAGTACATGTTACACAGCGTCGTGGAGAGCACAGAACCTTGCGGGATCCCACTCCGCTGAACGTACTCGTGGCCTTCCATCTGGACGACATTCGAGGATAAATGTTCCTTCAGTAACTCGAGAGCCTTGGTTTTGGTCAGGTAGTCGTAGAGAACAGCGTCTACAAACATCGAGTTCTGCTTCTTGGACTGAGCTGCCAGTTCATCGAAGCCCAGGAATTCGCCCGACGGACAGGCTGGACGCTCGAGCTTAAAGAAGAACGAAGACGCCGGTGGAGAGTCCTCATGGTCGATAGACGAAGAGACTTGATGTCCAACCCAATGCTTCCGGATCAGATACTCGTCCTCTTTCATCGCCTTTTTCAGTATCTGATAAAGTTTCCGAGGTCGAATCGTATCAAAGCAGCGTTCGACGTCCACAGTCACGCAGTAAGCCATTGGAGTCTCCTCTGAAAGACGTCGACGCTCTGCACAGCGAGGACACTGCGAGATCTGGAGAAAAAGTGGCTTCAGTCGTCTGTAGATCTCGTCGATATTCCGAACTGACGCTCCAAGAAGTTTGGGTTGTCGCTCCGTCTCAAACGTCAGGACGCGATGAACAGCTTCCATGGATCTATTCACCGAGACGTTGGTTGGGTCGATAGCTGTGGATAAATTCATCAACGGACGAATCCCGCTGGACTTGGGTAGCAGCCGCATTCGAGAGCAAGCCAACTGTCGCTCACTAGACGAGGCTCGAACGCTAGAAGGCTGTAGGATGCCTCCTTCCAAGTCGGAGAGAGCAAGTGCGCTGTAACAAATGAATTAGAACGGAGCACTGTGCAAACTTCATAGCGACGTGAGTTCGCACCTGATCGCATTCCACACGGGACGCTGGTAATACAAAATCTCGTTCGCCATGCCTTCCGCCTCGGTGATATAGAACAAGTTTCGTAGTAGTGGGAAGACCAGAGTCGATATCACCCAGTATAGTAAGTCTTCTACAAGTTTGAGACGCTTGACGCGTTCGTTTGGTGGGCTAAATACAGGGATAAAATAGGTGGAATCAGCCTCAATAACGCTCTTACATGGTATAAATATGGACGGGTGTACCAGTATTTCCCACTCGATTGAATATCCATCCAGTGTATCTTCGTCACCTGAAACTCTTTCGCACACTTTGAGTACACACGAGCCACAATCAGCAATTTATCTTCGTTATAGAAAGTACAAATGGCTACCTTTTTCAGCGAGAAGACGTCGAACTTTCGCGAGAATATGAGTCTGCGCAGCATCGTCTTCACGCACTTCCAGTTCTTCGGTGTGTCACTACTACCCCACACTTGTTTCGGTACAACTTGAGCTAGAAACTTCCGGACCAGTCGATAAATCTTCTTCTTGGGGGTTCCAAAAGCCAGCATCTTCTTGATGTCCTCCTTGTGTTGTTGCAGCTTTGTCAGATCGGACACTTCGTCGATAGTCCGTTCCCTGCTACTGATATTATTCTTGAGTTTCTTCTTCATGGGAGCCACCCCATCCGGACTTTTCCTTGTGTCTGTGGATAAATGAGACAACATTGCAATAGCTTCTTCTCTCCTCTTGCGTTTTCTATCAAAGCTTGACGCCACACCTTCACTCTGGCTCAGATATCCGTCTTCCAGTGACTTCCGTAAGATCGGTGGGATTATCGGCGCCTTTACATCCGCAGCTCGCTCCGCAATTGTCCGTTGAACACTCGGGTTATCCGCCATGAATTTCCGGAAATCCGAGTGCACCGGGACTATTTTTTTGGCTAGATCTTTGAGTTGACAAGATCTAAACCGTGACACCATCGTCTGGATCGTTGGGATCAGATTAATCAATCGCTTTGGTAGCCGCTTTCGGTCTTTAGCCTCTGGGAAGATCCATCCAAGCACTCGAGAAGCCTCAGCTCTACTGATTGGATCGCCAGTCTTGGACGCCTTCACCAGTCCATGGGAGCTTGCGAATACCCGATCTTTTCGGAAACAACGCGCATACATCACGTGGTTGATCGATACTTGGCGTTTATTAGGATCGACAGAGCCATCCGATGTCTGACGCTTTTGCTGACGCAAACTTTTTCCAGTGAGCTGGCAAAGAAAGGTGGAGCCATTACACGTTAGTCAACCTTCCCTTCGATCACTCCATTTACTCAGTAAGTACCTGCAAATAGGAGTCCGGATTCTCCTTGAGCTGCACAAAAATTGTGTAATGCAGCAGTAAATGTGTCATTAGATCGTCCCCCATGAGTTCGTGTAAATGTTCCCACAGTGGCTTCTTCAATGCAGCCACCAAGGTGTTCGGGTAGTAACACATTATCCCGTTCGACTGCGTCACGCGATGACCCACAGCCCCCGGCGTCACCTCCCGATACCCAAGCGTCAGAATGTTTGCGTCCTCCCAATTCGTCGCTCTTTTTCGTGCTAGAAGCCGCTCAATGACATGGTGCACCAATTCCGTCTACAGTTCCAAACCATGAAACATTTTGTCAATTTTCTTTATAATTTCGACCTCTTAGTGTAGTTTTCCAATATTTTACATGTGAGATGCACGTTTCGCAGCTCCAAGGAGAGCGGGGGAGTGCTTGTACCTCTGTACTGTGAGAATGGACGAGGAATGTGTGGTCCAAGGCGAAAACTACATCCTGGTTTGTCACATTGGCGAGATTTTGCTCGAGAGCAATGTCTCCCTGAGCGATGCGCTCCTCAGCAGCGCTATGGCCAATCAAAGAGTATGTTCTCAAGCATTCAGAGGCTTTACATGCAGTCAGAAAGCTGTCCTACCTCCGGAGGAACGAGCGCAGTGTAGACGCCTTAGCAAGCAGCCCCTCCATTCCTCAAGATGGATACATTGATGTGCACTGGATATAATAATTGTGGTCCACTGGGAAAATGGTATTAAAGAGGTTCTAATGTTTGTTTTGAAACGCAATGTGATAATAGAGGAATACGTAAATGAAGACGCAAGGACTTCAACTTGACCCCCGCCTTTTTAGACTGCTCGACACAAAACATGTTCGCTTAGAACGTGAGTACAGAACCAAAATCTACAGTCGAGACGCACTAGCGACGTTGGGTTGGAGCTCCTCGCTGAAAGGTTCGAGCTGTTGCAGGTTGTCCAAAATGAGTTGTGCGGACTCGGCCGGTTTCTCCAGGACCATCGCGTGTGACGAGTTGGCAATCGGTTTCTCTAGCCTGTAGATGTTTGGCCACTTGTCACTGAGCTCCTGGAAGATCGGAGGCAAGAACATTTTGGTGCGACTGCCGTAGTGGAAGAAAATCTGGCACTTGGGTCTTGCGAGCTGCTGGTCGTTCATGTGCAGGAGCTTGTGGCAGTACAGGGAGGCCTCGATGGGCGTACTGCATGCCAGCACAGTCTTTCCTGTCTTCTCTTCCTCCACGACGGCCCCTTTCATGTAGGCTTCCAGTGATTCGCGGTCCCATGCCGCAAAGTTCTTAAAATTACGCAGATGCTCCTCCGCCGCCGCTCGCGAGGGCCTGTCCAGAGTATTTCGTGAGTAAAGAGGAGACTAATGCACTCATAGAACACAGTTTTCAGACCATGATGACTCGCGTTGCAATGTGATAGACACGAGGAAAGTGGTGACAGCATCGGAGTTCAAATTGCCATATACTGGCTCGAACAAGATGAGGCCGTCGAAGGTTCCAGGATACTGCGCCTCGGTGTTCCACATCGCTGAAGCGCCCATGGAGTGACCAATTCCGATCAAAGGGGTGTCAACACTCTTGCTCTTCAAAGTACGAGCGTGCTGCAGCACCTCTGCAGACGTCCACGCGGTTAGATCGGAAGCTGGGTGGTGCACTCTCGGTCCCGCGGGGTTGTCCAGGTCGATTTTGGCCTCCATCGACTCGTCACGATTGCTGCCATGGTACTTGAAGTCGAAGCTCTCAAACTGCGTGTTGACAGTCTGCAGTAAAGGGGAGTTCTTTAAGCGACGCATAATAGGCTCCCAGGTTTCTTTGCAGAAGCCACCGCCATGAGCAAACAGCAGCGTGGCAGTCTTAGACATCGTTTGGAGGTAGGCAAATCGATTATGATACAGAAATCTGCCTGAATAAGGAACGGGGTTTCAACTAATAACCTCGCAATTTTTATAGTCGGGAAAGATTTAGGGAGATGGGATAGTGATGGGCAAGGTACTGACAAAACAATCCAGGCACTGACTTTGATTTTAATTTGAAAAATGGCGCGCAGTAGGTGGTCCTCCTTCGCTTCAAGCCCACAAGCTGAGCTTCATTCCTACATTTAAATTCAAGCTCACTAGCCGACTGCGTCCTCAGCACCCCATGTCCTCCAATCGTCTCCGCCTCACCTGATCCGAGAAGGCAACGTCCGTGTTGAGAAGCTACCACCGAACAAGATCCAGCCGCTGGATCAGGGGATCATCAATAGCATTAAACGATACATCTTATCGCAAAAAATGATGCTCGCATTAGATCGCTAAGGCGAAGGCCTCGACAACTCGTACAACGTCGACCAGCTAACTGCACTGCTCTGGTGCGAGGCTCCATGGTCTAAAGTTAGCGCTCTTACGATTCAGCACTGCTGGAATCACTCTGGTCTCATTCAAAAGTCGAATCTTCAATTTATCCTAACTTAATTCAATACATGCACATGATCCGATAGCATAGTCTGTTTTTAGCGAGGCATTGTCAGCTTATGCAATCTCTTTCTTAATTTATATCAGGCGTTCCTTATTCAGGCAGATTTCTGTAGTCCGATGTTGACAGTCTGGCGAGAGTCCGACGTGTTGAGTAACCGGCGACGATGTGGATAATCAGAAATCCTGATTGTTACATGCATGTTGATGTTATTATTAATAAGAGCACAGAGTACTACTGTACTGGTACCGACCGGTTTACGGACATGTACGTGAGACAAAATGCTTCCTGACAGAAACGTTCCCGGACTTTACAGACGCGAGTGATATAAGGTCGAACGGTACGGTTCGAGCTCACTCAAACTCTCGAGTATTTTTTGCGCGACAGCCTCTGGTTTCTCCACGACCATAACATGCGAGCAGCGCGGAATGGGTTTCCCCACGGAATAAATGTGAGGCCACTTCTCGTTCATCTCCTCAAATAACGACGGCAGGAACATCTTGGAACGAGCTCCGCTGTGGAAGAAGACTTGGCACTTGACACGGGCGAGCTGCTCGTCGGGGCAGTACATAAGTTTGTGGCAGTACAACGAGGCTTCCATGGCAGGACTGCACGCCAGACTGGTCCGTCCCGTTGACTTGTCTTCGATCAGACCGCCTTTAATATACGCTTCCAAGGACTCGTGATCCCAAGCGGAGAAGTTGTTAAAAGAGCGAAGATGAGTCTCTGCTGCCTCGCGCGTCGGCCTAGATTAAAAATAAAAGTTAGTACAATAATCCTCATGTATGTATCCCTAAAGAATACATGTACTACAGTAGAAGTCCTTAAGCTTACCACGAAGACTCACGCTGCAGCGTGATCGACACCAGGAAGTCTGTGACCGGGTCGACGTTCATATCTCCAAACACTGGCTCGAACAGCACGAGTCCGTCAAAACTACCAGGGCGCTGCACTTCCGTGTTCCACAGAGCGCAAGCGCCCATGGAGTGTCCGATTCCGATCAGAATCCGCTGTGGGTGTTTGCTTTTGAAAGCACGCACTCGTTGTAGCATCTCCGCCGTGGTCCATGTTGTTAAATCGCCAGAAGAATGGTGTACCCGTGGAGACGTGGGGTCAGAGAGGTCCACCCGAGGCGTCTCGGACTCGTCGCGGTTGCCTCCGTGGTACTTGAAGTCGAAGCTGAAGTATTCCGTCTGTACTGCAGCATGCTGCAGTAGCGGAGACTCTTGAAGTCGACGCGTAATTGGCTCCCAGATCGTCTTGCAAAAGCCTGCACCGTGCGCGAACAAGAGCGTGACTTTCTTTGCCATTTTCTCCCGAAATGAATTGGTGTGTTGTGCTGGTATCCGATATTCAAAGCTAATTAAGTTGTGGCGAACGAATACGTGCAGCAAACACACCACTTCCCAACCTCGTGTTGGTCAAACAGGTGCCGGGGCTTCGCAGAGCAACAGAGATCTTTCTCGCTGGGTGAGTAAACCTTTGAAGATTAGTCACAAGTGTCAGTGTGGCATACGGTACCTGAGTGTGGTCATCAATGGTTTAGATTATTGCTTCGATGTACAGGATACGTGACGTGAAGGGTTCGTCGTTTCACCATGTTGAAGGTGAACAATCTTTTACGTGTTGATTCACGTGTCACGGCCTGGCTAGGATAGCGCCTCTTTGCGGTACATGTACTGGAAGCAGGTCATATTAAATATTTTGTACTCGTTCCAATTGTTATCATTCTACAACTCGCCACGTGCATTCAACGTCGACAGGGGACTTTTATCGCCATGGTGTTGTCGGAAAAGAAGCCTGGACTTGAATCAGGTGCTGCGCTCATGGTCCATGGCCCTCAGGCACTGCATAACCACATCGCGACAACATTCGAGTCTGCTATGGGGCGATCCCTGCCCCAAACGGAAGTACGCTTCAGCAATTTGTCAATCTCGGCCGACATCGTCGTGGCAGATGACGATGCAGCACACCACGAACTCCCCTCGCTCTGGAATACTGTCAAGAAGAAAGCTACCAAGCTCTCGTCCAAGAAGAATGTCGTCCGTAAGGAGATTCTCAAGAACGTCAGCGGAGTCTTCAAGCCAGGTACCATCACTCTCGTCTTAGGACAACCTGGATCTGGCAAGTCTTCGTTGATGAAAGTTCTAAGTGGTCGGCTCCCTGTGGACAAGAACGTCACGGTGAAAGGTGTCGTGACGTACAATGGCGAGCAGCAAGAAACCCTCTCAAAGCGTCTACCGCAGTTGGTGTCGTACGTACCACAACGCGACAAGCACTTCCCTTTACTGACCGTCAAGGAGACGCTCGAGTTTGCTCATGAGTTCGCTGGTAAGAAGGTTATTCACCAAGGTGAAAAACGCCTTACCAATGGTTCAGCTGAGGAAAACGCGACTGCTTTGGACGTCTCTGAAGCTCTTTTTGAGCACTACCCGGACGTTGTGATCCGCCAACTCGGTCTCGACAACTGCCAGGACACGATCGTTGGGGACGTGATGCATCGTGGTGTGTCGGGTGGAGAGCGTAAGCGAGTCACGACTGGAGAAATGGAGTTCGGGACAAAGACGGTGGTGTTCATGGACGAGATCAGCACCGGCTTGGACAGTGCTGCCACGTTCGATATCATCAACACGCAGCGTAGTGTGGCCACTAAGATGAACAAGACCGTCGTCATCGCTCTGCTCCAGCCTGCCCCAGAGGTCTTTGATCTCTTCGATGACGTACTGATCCTGAACGAAGGTGATGTAATGTATCACGGACCTCGAGAAGAAGTAGAGGGTTATTTCGCATCGATGGGGTTCGCTCGTCCTCCTGGACGCGACCTGGCCGACTACTTGCTGGATCTTGGAACCAATCAGCAACGTCAATACCAGCAATCTTTACCTGTCGGCGTTAACAACTTCCCACTTCTGCCCAGTGAGTTTGGCAGCATTTTCCGACAGTCGAGAATCCACCAGGATATGCTTCGTAAGCTGGAGGAACCTCACAAGCACGAATTACTGAGTCACAAGGTTGAAGATATGGATTCGGTTCCAGAGTATCAACAATCGTTCTGGGGGAACACAGCGTCACTCATGCGTAGACAAGTGATGCTGACGATGAGGAACACGGCGTTTCTTCGTGGCCGGGCGATCATTATCGTCGTCATGGGGCTGATCAATGCGTCCACGTTCTGGGATGTCGATCCCAAGAACGTCCAGGTGATGCTTGGCGTTCTGTTCCAGTCCATCCTCTTCTTGGCTCTTGGTCAAGCTTCTCAGATCCCGACGTTCATGGCAGCACGAGACATTTTCTACAAGCAACGCGGCGCCAATTTCTACCGTTCGTCGGCGTACGTGCTGTCCTGCTCTGTCGCTCAGTTGCCACTTGCAGCGGGCGAAAGCTTGGTGTTCGGCACGCTGGTCTATTGGCTCTGCGGCTTCGTGAGTTCTGCCGAGCATTTCATCATCTTCATGATCCTCCTGATCCTGACCAACATGGCGTTTGCTGCTTGGTTCTTCTTCGTTACGGCCCTTGCCAGAGACATTCACGTCTCGAAGCCTATCGCCATGATCTCGATCGTCTTTTTCATTGTCTTCGCCGGCTTCGTCGTCTCGAAGGACCAAATCCCGGACTATTTCATCTGGATATACTGGATCGACCCCATTTCTTGGTGTCTCCGGGCTATGGCTGTCAACCAGTACCGCTCGTCCTCGTTTGATGTGTGTGTGTACGACGGAACGGACTATTGCGCGCAGTTTGGCATGAACATGGGTGAGTATTACATGTCACTGTTCGATGTCTCCTCCGAGAAATACTGGATTGTGTGTGGTGCGATCTTCATGGTAGCAGCCTACACGGTGTTTATGGGTCTTGGGTTTTTCGTACTCGAGTACAAGAGGTACGAAAGTCCCGAACATGTGATGATATCGAAGAAGGAGGTCGCGGATGAGGACAGCTACGCACTCTTGGTAACACCCAAGGCAGGATCCGTACCCAAAGACCAGGCAATTGTCAACGTGAAGGAGCAGGAGAAGAGCTTCATCCCGGTGACGCTGGCTTTTCAAGACTTGTGGTACTCTGTCAAATCGCCATCCAACCCGAAAGAATCGCTCAAATTGCTTAAGGGTATCAGCGGGTTCGCTTTGCCAGGCTCCATCACTGCACTCATGGGCTCTTCTGGTGCTGGCAAGACGACGTTGATGGACGTGATTGCCGGTAGGAAGACGGAAGGAACCATCAAAGGCAAGATCTTGCTGAACGGATACCAAGCGACCGACCTGGCTATCCGACGTTCAACGGGGTACTGCGAGCAAATGGATGTTCATTCCGAAGCCGCTACGTTCCGAGAAGCGCTCACGTTCAGCTCGTTCCTTCGTCAGGATAGCAGTGTTCCCGACAGCAACAAGTACGACTCGGTTAACGAGTGTCTGGACCTTTTGGACATGCACGGCATCGCTGACCAGATCATTCGAGGGAGCTCCATGGAGCAAATGAAGCGCTTGACCATCGGAGTGGAGCTGGCAGCACAGCCAAGTGTCATTTTCCTGGACGAACCAACGAGTGGCTTGGATGCACGTTCGGCCAAAATGATCATGGACGGTGTTCGCAAGGTGGCTGACAGTGGCCGCACCATCGTTTGTACGATCCACCAGCCCTCGACGGAAGTGTTTCTACTGTTTGACAGTCTGTTGCTTCTGAAACGTGGTGGCGAGACGGTTTTCTTTGGTAACCTCGGTGCCAACTGCCAGCATTTGATTGATTATTTCGGGGGCATTCCAGGCACCCCGGCGCTTCTGGAAGGGTACAACCCCGCTACATGGATGCTAGAATGCATCGGCGCTGGAGTGAACAACGCAACGAATGATGTCGACTTTGTCCAGTATTTCAACGGCAGTGAGGAGAAGCGTGTCTTGGACTCGAATCTGAACAAGGAAGGCGTCGCGTTTCCGTCTGCTGATGTGCCAGAGATGACGTTCAGTCGGAAGCGTGCTGCTTCGTCGTGGACGCAAGCTCGTTTCCTGGTCACTCGCTTCATGCGAATCTACTGGCGTACGCCTTCGTACAACATCACGCGCTTTATCATCGCGCTGATTCTAAGTCTCCTCTTCGGTCTATTGTTCGTCGATATAGACTACACGAGCTACCAGGGACTCAACGGCGGCGTGGGGATGATCTTCTCGGTGGCTCTCTTCAACGGTATCATCTCGTTCAACAGTGTTCTACCCATTACGTCGGAGGAGCGTGCGTCGTTCTACCGAGAACGCGCGTCCCAGAGCTACAACGCGCTCTGGTATTTCCTGGGCTCCACAGTGGCTGAAATTCCCTACAGCTTTGCCAGCGCCCTTCTCTTTGTGGTCATTTGGTATCCGATGGCTGGCTTTACGGGATTCGGCACGGCGGTCTTTTACTGGGTTAACGTGGGGCTCTTTATACTGGTGCAGATCTACATGGGACAGTTCTTTGTGTATTTGCTGCCGAGTATTGAGGTCGCAGCGATCATGGGCGTGCTACTGAACTCGATCTTCATTTTGTTCATGGGCTTCAACCCACCAGCGACGGAAATACCCAGTGGCTACAAGTGGCTGTACGCTATTACTCCTCACACTTACAGCGTCGGTATCATGGGTGCGTTGGTGTTCAGTGACTGCGACGACATGCCGACGTGGGATGACGTTGCGCAGCAATACGTCGGCGGCGGATCTCAACTCGGCTGTCAATCGGTGACGAACACTCCGGTCAACATCGACCACATTACAGTCAAGGAATACGTCGAGTCGGTCTTCAAACTCAAGCACGACGATATCTGGCGCAACTTTGGCATCGTCTTGGTCTTCATCGTCGTGTTCCGGGTGCTCACTTTGCTTTCGCTGCGCTTTATCAACCACCAGAAAAGATAAACTGCCGATTTCGTTTTTGCATTGTGGGAATATGACGTTAATTGTTGCATTCATTGGTCTTAGCTATCCGATCCATGATGCACTTCTTTATAGTGTCGCCCCATGCCATGGAAACCTCTTGCAACTCTTTCAGACCGTCTTTGGGGATATCGAGTTGTGTGTGTGCTAGTCGGAGACAGGTCCATCGCGTGCCGACTACGACGCCCTGTTTGTCTGGAGCTGAACGGATCAACACCGCAGTGATGGTGTCTCGACGGATTCTTTCATCTGGTCGATACGGATATAACTCGTCGTCGTCTACAAAGTCTGCAGCTATGATCCCGTAACAGCCGTCGGGTCCGTCGACGTACTCGGAGAAGATGACCGAGTTGGACTCGACCACCGCCCCGTGTTTAGTCGAGGACACGAGTCGTATTTGAGAGATATCTGCGGCTTCAAAGTCCGTGTCCTCGCGGATTGTGATACTCCCAAACAGCTCAGAGATCAAGATCTCGGCATTCTGCATCGAGTGGATGATCGCATCGAACACAGCTCGCACCGTAGTGCCCCGAATAGGGGCGTTGTCAACACGTAAAGCCGAGAAGCCTCCTTCGAGCGACTCGAATTGGCTTTCCTGCGAGAAAGACGAGCCCGTGTCGAGATCTTGACCCCATGTCGTCATAAAGCGCTTGGCTTCCCGCAGTTTTTCGTCCTTCATAGCCAGCAAGGTACGTCGACGTTCCTTGCGGTCGATGCCGAGTCGAATCGTTACCTCTGTAGGCTGCAGCTCCGATAGACTTTGCTGCTGTATAACAAAAGAGTAAGATGGTAAGTTTATTGAAGTTGAAATAACAATTTGTTGCGCAATAAAAACTCGCTCACCATGCGAGACACAAGCATCGATTGCATCGCTGCGATCGCAACGTGTTGGTGCTGCGCTCTTTCGTGCAAGACTGAGTTGGCGACTTCAATACGCTCAATGCTAGAGTTCGCTTCCCCCTTATTAATGAGCACGCGATGCTGGAGCAACTCGAGTTGCTTGCCTAGCTTTGACAATTCGGCCATTAGATCAGCCTTCTGCTGCTTGCGGATATCGTACGTTGTTCGGCGCTTCTTGGCCGGCCGCTTCGTCTTTTTCTCCTTCTGGCTGGTTTTCTTCGAGCGCTTAGCTGATACCCGCTCATTGTTACTAGAGTTCTCGCTGCTGCCTTCCATGTCACTAGACCCCACGGTGTTTTGGTTGAGTAGCTCGAGCCATGATGCAGCTGTGCCAAGGAGGGGCTCGCTTGAATTACTGCTTCGTAGCGCCATGGGCATCGTCGGATCTCAACGGCAGACCGTGGAGTGATACCCAGGGGCTAATGGTAACCAAATATCATATGATATTTTTGATAGTAATAGTACTATTTTCGATATTAAATAGTAATATTAACTCATTTTTGCAAAAGCTAACATAGTATTTTAATATTAGCTCGGAGAACTGAGAAATATTAGATACTACATGATATTTTATGATATTTTCCCACTTAAGTACGTTTCTTGCCACCTTACCCTCTGTGAACCCCAAGGCGACAAATAACTTTTTCGATCAGGTTCTAGAAAAGCAGTAGGCTTTAAGAATGACGAGTATTTGCTCTAGTATTTCACTGTGACACAGACAAAGGCGATCGAGATGGAAAACTGCAAACGCTTGCAGCTGTTTAACGTTGATAGAGCGAAATCAAGACATTTGTTCTTGTTCTCTACCGATCTCCTCGTCCACATCGTGCGTCTAATAAACCTGCTGCCTGTGGCGCTAGATTAATGCGCTCAGCAGTGCCAACACACGACGCCAACCTTGCCGTCACTCTCACAATTGTCCCTCCCTCAGCGTTGATTAGTAATACTTCAGCTAGTCGAGCGTTAACGACATCTGATTGGTGAATTTATCCTGATTACGCAATCTTGGAAAAATATAATATAGTATTAACTAATATTAAGTTGATATTTAATAATATCATATTGTCTCAAAAGAAAATATTAGGTGATATTTTTTATATTAACTGGTCTACAGGTGATATTTTAACAATATTAACTTTACCGATTTTGGAAATTTTCTAGAAGCGAACGCATGGTCAACATGAATTGTGATTGTTCACCCTCGCTTTTGTACCGGTACTGGCGGTACATGTACTGACACTGTCAGTACATGTCAGTGACAGACGATGACGTCAAAGCTATGGATACTATAATACGCAGTGTTACAGTAATGTGCATCAATTAAAAGCGAATGAGAAATAATATACCTGTAAACTTTATACGCAACACTTTGACAAGCCGCACGCTAAGTATATTTAGTCTTCTATGTTCTATTTACTAGTATATCATATATGTGCGTCAACAAAGAACATATTTGATCCAAAAATAATATTCAAAGTTGCCCAGAAGATTATGTGAGCTACACGCTCTCATACAACGCCTCATACCGTATTTTTCTAAGCTATTCGCCAAACTGTCGGTCAGGAGAAAATTTAAATATCACATGCGTATCCGTGGAAATAACCACATCGGTGTGAATAGCACACGTACAAAACCAGGAGATTCAACTGAGATACAACGTGCGAGTGACCGGCTATCGACCGGCCTCCTCCTACTTGTGGCACACATTAGTTTATCGCAACACAAATTCTTCTCCATCAGACGCCACTACGTGCGACACGCGGCGACAGTAGATCGCACGGAATTTCTAAGGCCCCATGGAGTCCTTGTGCATTAGACCGCCTGCAATAGCTGGGCAGCGATCACAGCTCAATGGACAAGCAGCCGGATCAAGCCGAACGATCAAGTTGATGAGATTTCGTACCCAAAAGGCAGCCGGCAGACTGCTAGTTTGTAGTGCGAATAGGGGCCTGTTTAAGCAGATTGGTGATGCGTTGTGTGACGCGTGACGCGGCTGGTTAGCCATCATCAACGCTGCCAATAGGAGAGACACCAGACGCCGGACAGAGCGACCGCCAGACGTCTCTCTCAAGCATGACTTGTAAGTGTTATCGCAACTTTGCTACTGAATACCACTAATGTTATATCATTGACTGTATTTACATGTTAGAGATATGCATTGTTCATGTAGCATCAATCAGGCTCTGGGACTACGCTGATGCAGTAGATCTGCGGACGTTCGACCACATCAGCGACCGACGATCGGCTCGGCTGCTGCAGCGTAATCTCCCGCGTTATTCCCGCTGGAGGGCGTGGCCGGCACGGGGAGGACGGTCTGCTGCGGTATGAGCGGTTCCGACTGTAGCTCCCTTGCGCTTGTGGGCACGACGGTTGACAAACACCTTCTCGTCGCTACTGTTGACTCGATCACGCTCCTTGCATCACGAAGAGGCAATGTACGCAGTTTCCATACTTGAAGTGGTACATGTATGGGTAAGAAAATTGACTGACCACCCTGTCTTGGGCTGGTCTTCGGCTTCCTTGCGTGCAGTGCTGACACCACCCTGAGCTGAGACTTAAAGAGCTTCTTGAAAGGAGTTCGTGGCAGGGCTGTAGGCTCTCTCTGGTGCAGTGTACAAGACGTGAAGCACATCTGTGCTAGAATCCACCATGTGGAAGTCGAGGCTCATCCGTGGTGCTCGTAGAAGCTGCTGGCTCCGAAGGGCCTTCACACGAGCAAACAGCTCTTTCGACGCGACTGTTGTAAGCGCAAACGGACGGAGATCTATTGCGCGCTGGTGGCAGCACGCAGCAAGTTGCTGTATCAGCTCGCCTATTTTCAGGAGACGATGTGCGGTGTAATCGTGTTTCAAGGCCCGGTTGAACTGCCCAACCGGGTTGTTGGTGGGGGCAAACGCGATAGGTGTACTGTAGCATTGCCAGTGACAAAATCGATCATTTAACCAGACTCGTTTGAAATACCGGTGGAACGCCTCCAGCATTGGAAGTTTGAGCCAGCGAGTCTCTGTAGCTTTGGACACAGTGGCAAAGCCGTCAGCGCTCCTGCTGTGGTGCAGATCATAGATGTCACGAAGGAGAAAGTCGCGTACTTCGTACGAAAGACCCTTAAGCCGATCGATAATCTTGGCAAGTACGTGGTAGAGACACATGAGATGGACATACTTGCCATCACTTCCACAAACGGCAGCTGCGGCATTGTACTGGGCCGCGTCAGCGTCTCCCATTAGGAAGGAAATGCGCAGCGGCTCCCCCAATACGTTGCCGGAGATCCAGCACAAGGCAGCAAAGGCCTTTGCATGGTGCCCTTCTTGATGCTGGGAGATGACAAACAATGCCGACAGGTGAAACGTTCTTGCGGCATCGGTAATACCGATGACTACGACGGGATATCCAACCTGGTTGGCCTTGTAGGTAGCGTCCACGTGTAAAATAAAGATCGCGGGCTCTTGGGAAGCTTGGCAAAGCAGCGCCTTCGTTGAAAAGCCCACAAGGAATGGCTTTTCGTCGGACCCATTGCCGACAACGAGCTTGCCTTCTGTATCCAAGTCCCAGACAAACGTAAAGGGTTCGTGTTCTACTTCCGAGCTATTAAACGCTAGCTTCTGAACAGCCGTCACGATGGTTGCAGTTCTGTCACTACCCCGAGCTTGGTACGGCGATAGTGGCACACGACATTCTGCACCTTTTGTAGAGCTGGAAGATCGCTTGGTAAACCGAACTGCAATAGCATCGCCGTGCGTATACAAGCCGGCTTCATACCTGCCCGAGTCACTAGCTTTGAAAAAACCTTTTGAGCAGTAGTGAGGGTGCGACTGTGTGGCGGTATCGCTCTAGTCACATGCTCGGCACTCTCAAATAGTGACACGACCTTGCGGTCGAGGCAGACTAGCCTGAAGCAATTGTATATGGGACGCCAGACAATTGCTTCAGGCATCTTGGGGAGAAGGTAGTGAGCGGTGAAAAAGACTCGTACTGGCGGGGGAGGATTTTGACGAGTTGGATCGACTTTTGAACTATTTGATAGGCTAATTAAGCTGAAATAGAAATGTTTGATTGGACAAATTTTCGTCCCGCTAGCTTGCGATTGGCTATTGTGCATTTCCAAGCTTTGAAGTGACAATACTTCGTTCCTGTGTGCTACTATTGATTGGATGTACACACATGATGCGCAAATCCTGGTTTTATTGTGAAAATTACAGGTGCAATGTGTTTTTGATGTGCTGTCGTCGGTGAGAATGAACACGTTCTCAGTTCTCGTACTTCGAAGTGAGAAACTGTTGCAATGACTAATTATGAAAGAAATCGCAATCGATGCGTGTGCTTACTCTATTAATAACTACGGTAGGCTGGCAGGTGTAATACTGTAAGTGATTGCTCCCTCACTCCAGGTTTTGCTCAGCACGCTGAGCTCAGTTACGTTACGCAAACTGCAACCGCGTAAAAAACTACTGGGTCGACTAAGCAGGGACACCAAGCAGAAAGAAAGAAAGCAGAGAATAACACGAGTGACGAGATCCTGCCCCCCTGAGTTTAATCCTCATGATGAGGCCTCGTGTTTCAAACGATGCAATCGCCAAAATAACTAGTCAGTGTACCAATCCCATACAAGATCTCTAGCTAAGTTCGGATCTGTTAGTCATCACAGCTGTATGCGGTCCTTATCCCCCTTCCCAAGTAACGTCACATTCGAACAGCCACGAGTCGATGCTGCCGCAGCCTTCGTTCATGTCCTCCCTGCACGCCCCCCCGGTCTGGGAGGTCAATCTTCGCCTTTCCGAGTCGTCCAGTGAAGACGCTGCGACGCTTTCGAGTGAGAGCTTTCAAATGGACGACGGAGACGCTCGACAGGCCGCTACAACCAGTCACAAACGCAGCAAACGGGGGACTCCCAGCTCAGACAAGAAACGCAAAACCACGTACGATATCCGACGAGAGCAGAAGGTGGAGCTGACGGCGCAAGTGGAGACGCTACAGAAACAACTCGACGACCTCAAATTTCGCGTGCTAGTGGAGCACGGAGAAGCCGCCAAGTCCAATAAACGCGCGGCAGCGGGGAATGCGGTACTGTACGAATTCATCCAGCAGCAGCATCTGGAGCTCGCGAAAATGCAGGCAATGCTCGCGGGTCATTTGGTAAGATAACGCCATTGATGACGTGCGAATTCAACTCCGGTCCAAGTTGCTAACCCTGTTTAGTATTTCTATCAGCAACTAAATGTTGACTTGTTGCATCCAGCGCAGAGTATTATTCGGCTGGGAACGGACCCGATCGAACGTCATAACGTGCTGGTAGCACTCAAGGACAAGAAGCTGCAAGAGGCCAAGCAATTCATCACGACTCGAAGCCAAGGTCTGGACCCCAGGTCGTCGTACTGTCAAGAGGAACGGAACAACGGGGACAGCTTTTGCCAGGTGATTTTCGAGATCAGACCCATAATTGGAGCTGGTGCTAGAGAGGTCTTCGACGCTTTCGTTGACGTCTCGCAGAACGCTGAAATCATCATCTCCGAGATGTTCGGCAGCATCACGATCCGAGAAAACAACGAAGCGGACACGCGAGATATCTCGCAGATGCGTTTGGTGACGTCAACCTCGCAGGGAACCTTAGTGGAGGCCAATACAGTCATGTTCGCGGAGTTTGTAGAGGCCAACGACGAAAGCTGTGGGGTCATTGTGTCGGACTTTGTCGATTCGGATGAACTGTATCCGTACAAGCCGGAGCAGCGAGTTCGACGAGACACGACTACTGTGTTCGTGATTCGCTCGTTCAAAGCGAAAGCGAAAGATTTAGATGACGAGGAAGTCTTGGTTGTGGCTAGTCGATGGACTTGCTCCAAGATCCGACGTAGCGAGATGGATCTTTCCGCTGACATTCTGCGAGAAATGGAAGAGAGCACGGTGTCCTTTGGCGACACAATGAAGAAGTGTATCCAGCAGCGATTGGGTAAAGAGGACTTGTACAGCGGGAAAAGTGTTTCTAATCCGCAATAATCGTCGGTTTTTTCTGTGTGAAGTAACGCTAACGTAACCAGAATTTCATTAGCTCGCATTATCTTTCTGCGTCACACCTAAATCAAGATTTTTTAAACATACTCTAGTCACTTCAGAAGTAGTAGCTTTTTGTAAGAAATGTTCAGCTAGTACAGTCGTAATACTACGTAGTAATAGAAATGACTCTACTTAAGTTGCTTCCAATTGCATTCTGTTCCTGGCTTATTCGTCGTTTTCTGCTGTTACAGACTGGGGGATGTGCTTGTGTGAACGAGTTGCTGCTCAATAAACCTCTTGCTCGTATCCCCCCAGCACACTGAGCTCTCCTTCATCTCCGTTTCAGCATCTCGAGAGAGACTGTGATGGATTTTCAAGCACGTCCAGCGCGTGACGAAAACTATGTCGGAGGAAAGAGAGCGCACCGTGACAATCGTGGTTCCGTCTCTGCGGACGCGCTCGTTGGTCCGATACGGATACAAAGCGTCCGAGTTGACAAAGTCTGAGACCAGAACTCCGTACCCACCTTTTCCGTCGTCCATTCCGTCGGAAAACCTCGCAAACAGCAGTGTATTGGACTCCACGGTAGTGTCGGCCGAAGTCGCAGTAACCAGCCGAAGTTGTGTGAACTCGGACGTCTCAAAGTCGTTGTCTTCGCGGATAGCAACGCAGCCAAACATCTCGGACAGAATGATCTCCTGATTCAGTATCGCGTCCAGAACGGCATCGAACACTTCCTTGACATGAGCTCCTTGAACCGGGACAGTCTCGAACCGTACGAAGCAGTAGTCTCCTTCGTCGGAATCAAAGCACTCGTCTTGGCAGTAGGTTGATTCTGGACCAAGTCCGTGGCTCCTGGCTCCGAGATATCGCTCTGCGTTGTCCAATTGGCGTTCTTTGAGAGCCAAAAGTGTATTGAATCGCTCCACTGGATCCGCTCCTAAGCAAATCAAGCTTTGAACTGGCTGCAAAGCGTTCAAATTTCGTTGCTGGTGTCGAGAAGAGCAATAGCTCACAGTCAATATAAATATCAACATTCCGATTCGTACATTCTTACTCCACTTACTGCGTTTTCTGTAAGCGCCGCCTGTAGCGCAGCTCGCACTAAGTGCTGCTTACGAATACAGTCAAACAGCACGTCATTCTCGGTTTCGGCGCGTTTCGTGGCCTTTAACACTTCTCCCTGCTCCACCAGAAGGCGGAACTTGAGCTGGCCCAGCTCCTTCTGCAAACTCTTCACCTCCTCCACCAAATCCCGCCTGACCTTCTTGCGCACCTCGTACGCTGTTTGTTTTTCCTTAACCTGCGTCTCCCGCGCATTTTTGCTCTTGGGCTTCATCACACACTTGTCCAATTGACGTTTGCCTGCACTCTTCCATCGCGTACTGTGATCAACTCACCTAGCCCACCGTCGCTCCCAGATAGTATTTCAGCGAGGTTTTATTCTGGCTCTTAAGGTTTTGAGGTTTTATACATAGGCGTGAGACCTGTGTAATTTACCGGTTCTGATATCACCAGCCGAGATATTATTGTGGATTCCGAGTATATTTGGAATTCTCGATCGATTCGTGGGCAAATCAACAGCGCGCTCTGATTGGTCAATTAGGATTGCCGTTAAACGCGGAACGAACCGGACTGCTGCACTGCTGCACTGCTGGATGCTTCTTTTGCAGCACCTTTCCTTGCAGCCTTGGATCTTCAAGGACGCACCCGTACACTTGGTACTATTGTCAATCTTGTGTTTTGATGCTGGTAGATACGTCAACTATTTGCTAAACAACATTTGTTACTCTTTAGCACGATGGAGGCAGCAGCTACTCGGCAACATGCTAGTCCCAACACAGTTTTCCACTGCTTGTTCGGCTATAACTATCTTGGCTATTTTAGGAAGGAACTGGCACACATCTACAACAAAACACAGCAGACAATAGGAAACTGGATTCGTGTGTATGAAGTTACGGGGACCTACCAACGCGCTACGTTAAAGTCAGACCGGAAATTTACGGTAGAACAGCGCTCATAACTTCAAGTATTTTTTTTAGCAGAGACCTTTAGCATATCTGGACAAAGCACAAACTGCATTTCGCTTGAACTTTCAGCTCACCATTTCCAAAACATCCGTGTGGAGAATTATTCACGATTTGGGCTAACTTGGAAAGTGTTGGAACGCCGAGCCATTCAAATCAAAGAGCAAGACATCTTTCGGTTTGTGGAGGAGCTGAGTCACATCAACTGGACCTACTACAATGTTGTTTTTCTGGATAAAGTTTCATTACATAACAGGGGAATGATGCGAAAGAGAGGCTACGCACTTCGAGGTCAAGAGGTGGCTATTCGGGGTGAGTTCCAGCGAAAACCCAGAGTCTCCATGCTTGCGTTTATTGGTGTCAATGGCATTATTGACTACTATGACACTGTTGGAACATTTGACCGATTAGAGTTTGTTCGATGCTGTCAAGATTTTGCGTACTCTAAGCGTGCCAGTGTTCTACCTTACCCCAGAACTAATTCTGTTTGGATTTTAGATGGTGCATCCATCCATCGACACCCTGAAATTGTGCATTATCTAAGAAGTATCGGAATTGTACCGATTTTTCTACCTGCCTATTGCCCGTTCTTTAATCCCATCGAATTTCTGTTTGGTTACGTCAAGAAAGCCTTTCAGCGCTACTACGTGAAGTCCACGAATCGTGACTTAATGCCATTTATTGTTGACACATTTCGACGCTTTGTGACCTTTAATATGGATCGGGTGTTTGAACATTGCGGCTGGATGGTCGATGAAACTTTCAATCCTGTGGGGCCGCTGTCAACAGAGTCACGCGCAGTACCAGATTTTTGGGAGGACGTTTCCAAGGAAGAAGAAGAATTGGACAAGGATGCATTAGGCTTTCGTACGCTTAGTTAAAAAGGAAAAAACAAACAAATGAATGATAGCACGCTCGCTTAAACTATCTGAATTATTGGTGCTCAAAGTCCTCAAGATTTTCCATGTTCTGCAGCGGGTCGACCAACTCTCCAGGGTCTGGTAGAGGCATGTGATGGAGGAGCGACTCAATTTGGACCTTACGAGCCTACAACATCGTCTCAAAACTTTCCAACCGGCGACCATACATCTCCCAGTCGCGACGTAACTCTGTTGACCCAGCGATAGATGCGTTCACGACGTCGAGAGCAATTTGTGTCGAGCGGTGAAGATCATTGACGTGTTCTTGAACACGAGAATCAGTAGTCCGCAAGAGTCGCAAAATATGTGGAGGTGGTGGAGCACGTATTTTATCGTTCCATGTGGAGCGATCCTGACTGCGAACCACCTCAGTAGCCCACATACGCCACACCACAGCTTCACCTGTGTATGTGGCGCTCCAAAAGTCTTGTAGGCGCCCCACAATCTCGCGAAGTGTGACTTCAGCAGCTGCGCCGGCCCTGTCAGTCTCGGCTGGGAGAATGCACTCCTTTTGAAAAGCTTGGCGATCTTGTTTTCTCCCGAGACTGACGCCATATTCATAGATGAGAAGCGTGGCAGTCTTGTCATGCATTGATTGAAGCCAAGTGTTCCAGTCCTGGTTGGATTTTGAGCTGTCGACGATGTGTTTTTTCACCTTGAACACCATGAACTTGGACAAAGAGTCAATCGCAGCTTGCTCGACAGTCCAAATCCCACCGGACTTCACTGCCCTCCCTTTAACACGAGGGCTGAATTCCGCCCATATTTTCTCCAGAATGTCCTGGAACGAAGTTCCACCTGCTACAAAGGGGTCAAGAGAGTCACCAGAGCTGTCTCGCTCGCCTACCGTCTCCTTCACAATGGGCTGCATGACCAGCCGGTAAGCGTGAGATGATGCTGGTTGGTATACCTCAGTTGACGCTGGACTACGGCGTCGTTCCGGGTACGGGGACGTTCGCACTCGCCCTTGAGGTGTCTGCGTTGGCGACGTCGACTCCATCTTGAACAATGATGTAAAGCGAGAAAACCACTCTCATCTGTCATTTTTTATGCTGTTTAATAGTGGAGCAATTTTTTGCGCCTGAGGGCATGTCAATCGGCCCTGAAAATTTTGAGTAGAACCCACAATACTTGAATATGTTAAATATTGCACGCCAGCTGCCTTTCCTCTAACCAGAACCCTCCCGCGACAAAACCATACTTACGAGCGACCTTTACAAAGTTCCATATTAATTATGTTGGACGGTCCAACATAATGACCAGAATATACCCCTGAATTTTTGGCCAGGGGTTGAAGGGTTAAACCTGAAAGTAAAACTGAAATGTGCATTTGAGAGTTTCGAAAGTTCTCTCTACTATCAATTTGGAAATCAGTCATTTGTTTTCGTTTTCTAAACACACAAACATGGGGGGGTTAATAGGGCCTTCTATTTGGTTTTAATTTTCTTTTTCTAAAGAAGCCTTGATATGCAAGTAGACGATCAAGCACACTAGTCGTCTTTCGGATTGTTGCTGTGGTTGCCTCTCTTTCAATTCTCCCAACCACTCTCTGTAAGTAACTCTGCATTGGATCTGGATCCTTGCTGTCTGGGAATAAGTATATCTTTGTGGTATGCTGCTGTGCCAGAAATCTCGCTGCTGCAAGCGATTTCCTGCCCGGTTTTACCCAGTGAGCTGCGAAGAAGGACTCAAGTGGTTGTTCTGGTGGTGCTAGAGTAGTGTCTACTTGGTCTGCGGTGCAATATCTCGGGGGTGAGTCTCGACTCTCGTAATATCTTCGTTGTGTCCGCATGACGTGAAATCTCAGCTGTTCCCTGGTGCAGTAGGATTTCCTGGAATTTGCTGGGTTGGTCAGACTTGGCGTAGCGAACACTGCTCGCCATTCTCAACACCCACGTCTTCTTTTGGTGAAGGCTGTATATGAGCCAACTTCCTGTCCTTTGTGAATTCATGCTATGATATTGTAGTAACCAGACGGCAAGCTCTTTCTGGTCGTCTTCTTGGTTAATGGACATCATAATCTGGTGGCATGTTTCGAGGCAATATCCAGCAATTCTGGTTTCCTGTCTCGATTTCCAAGCAGATGCAATTGCTCGAACTTGGAAACAGCCTGCACCCCAAACAATTGCCGCTGTCTCACTAGCTGACGAATGTAGATTATTGAAGACATGTCCGTTTCGAAGTCTCCAGAGTAAAACCGGTGTAATCGCTGTCCAAATTATCCATAAGGTCTGCATAGCGATGTCATGTTGAGCCGTCCATCTCGTAATACACTTTTAAGCCGTAACAATGAAATTGCTGGTTATTGCTGGGCCTGCCTAGCAGCCAGGAAGGTTATCATTTCTTTTCGCTCACTGAGCGTTGTAGCTTGCGCTAGTCAGTGATCCATCCACGTTTCCATGCAACTTGGACTTTTTCGCAGTCCCAAATGATATGCTCAGCAGTTACCAAGCAGCTCGGTTCCGGGCATTCTCGGCTATTTAGCCATCCATGGTGAAAAAGGTTCAAACCTCCGATCGCAATCCGACACAGTGTCCAGTTTTGATCGTCCGTAAAAAGGCTCGATTTGTTCCAAAGCCTCTTTGGCTCTTGAGCTATAGCCATCTTTTGCCAGTTCGATTTCTCCATCTTGGTTTTAATTGTCGTCAGGATATAATTTAAGTCCGTGCGCAGGTTGCGTTGAATCTCCTTTGATCGCTTCTTTCGTACTGTCGTCCCCAAGTTAAATGATTTTGTTGATTTTGGCGCCGTCCAGGGAATTAGGGAAGTTTTTGGGTGAGCCTTGAACGAAATGCCTTCTCTTGCTTCCCAACTTTCCCACAGCATGAAGTCATCACTCTCTTTGTACTATTCTGATGCAAATGTTATTGCCCATGTCCATCTATCCCTTCCACGCTCAGCCTGCAGCACCATACTATCTTCCTCGTTGCTCCTCTTACTGGCAATAACCGTATTGAAACTTTTCACCCACCACGTGAGCTTCTCTTTCAGTTTCGGTGATCTAAAGTTTGATCTCTGTGCTCTGCGCTGTCCAGAATTTCCAGGGTAAGCTAAGTAGAATGCTTCGGCTCCACCTTACAATTTGGCTGTGCTGCCTGGCTTTATAAATGGTGGTGCGGAGTGGGGGTTGTATCAGGGTTCCATAGTCTCCAACCGCTGTTAGGCTATCATCGTGGTTTACTGCTATTTCTCCCAATGTCGCCGTTTCCAATGCTGGGAAGTCATTAAGACGCAGCGGTATTCCTTTACAGTCGAGTACACATGCGTTATCGTGCCAAGTTGAATTTCTTAGAAAGGCTGCCGTTCCTTCGTCGATTTCTGTTTTGTAGATTGTCGTGGTCGTAAATCTCAATATCTGGCCGTCGATCCAATAGCAGGAAGTATTTTTTATCGCTTGGCACTGACGGTTCTTTATCTCTTGCAGTTGATC